GAGCAAGTTATAAAATATTACTTAAGTAATTTATTTATTAGATTGAATTTTATAAGATTTATCTGAATTATTATATAAAAAAATTCTAATATTTTTAATATAATATATATTAATAATTTTTCTTTAACTTTAATTTCTTTTTTGATCAGAGATAATTGAGATATTAATTAATAAATAGTTTTTATAGAAACTTTAATTACCAAGTAAAGATTAATTATAATAGTTTAATAAGATTAAATAAGAATTACTTCTTTATCAGGATATCTAAGATCAAAGTCTATATTAGTTTTATGAGCTTATTCAGATAATTTTTCTTTCTCTTTATTATTATAAATTTTGATTATTAAATTTGTTAACTATTTTTTAAGTTCTTTCTCTTTTTCTTTATAAATATTATAAAATATTTTTTCAAGATTTCTTTTATTGAATCATAATAACTATTATCTGCTTTTTCTTCTAGTATTTCTTCAATTTGTTCAGATTATGCACAATTTTTACAAATATCTAAGTCACAAGAAATCAAATATTTATTATAGAATTTTATATTAATATCTTCTAATAGAATAAGTTATTTTCTATAAGGGAGAAATAGTTATTAATAAATGGTTAGAAAGATTTATTGAATAAATACTTCTTTAGATCCTTTATAGTTAATATATTATATTTCTTCTTCTTTATTATACTTAGTAATATATTAAACAAGATTTCATTATATTATTAATAGATATTGAGCAGATTATCATCACTTCTTAATTTTCTAATTATTTTATTATTCTTTCACAATCATTAACAAAATAATCTTATAGTTATCCTTATTCTGACCTTATGAATCATTAAAATTATTTGTTCAGGATATTGAATTGTCAGAATTATAAACTATTAGGATGTTGGGATTATGAACTGTCAGGATGTTGAATTGTTAGGAATTTATTTTTCGGGTTACTGGATGTTAGAATTTTGGATACCGGGCTAATGTATGGTTCCAATGTGATTAATTTGGAACAGTTAGCTAATAGAAATCAATTCAGATCCCAATTAGAAAGTATACTCGTAATTCTTCTTAAAAATCACATGAAGTGTATTTATAGAAATACTTTAAATATATGGAAAATCAAAAATTTATTGTATATACAGAATATAAAGAATGTATTTAGTAATTAAATTCCAAGCTTGGACCTGAGAAAATATAAATTATAATATCATATATTATTAGATACACGTAATAGTAAAAAAGTTGAATTCTAACAGCTAAAAAAGAGAACATGCATATTGGCATGTACACACATATACATGTATATAAATAAAATGAAATAGTGAACTGAAATCGAAGTCTTTACTGCTTTGATTGCTGCGTATTCTTTGATTCTTTAATTTAATTATTTGGCTTGATTATTTTGTTGAAACTCATACTATTGGCTTGGAATAATTATTATTTGAATTTTATTAGTTATTTTTGTCATTTGATTTGAAAGTTATATTTATATTTACTAATTATTTATTACTTGGGTTATTTGAAATTAAATATTATATTTTACCTTTGCCCTTTAAAATCCTTTATTGTAATTTTCCAATTTCCATGAAAGTTTGACGCAGGAGACTCTTTGAAACCCACTCTGCGTAAGTCATTCAGTCTAACACCCGCTTTTTGCTATTTCCATGATTCGTTAGTCAACCTAACTTTCGAATTGTGCATAACAATTTACACATTTACACATAAAAAAATTCGGTGAAGCACTTGAAAAATTTTCAATAAAAGTTAGTCCCTTTGTCACATTTCTTTATCGTATTTCGCGAACTAACGCGTAGGAATTTAATTTCGAATTTGACTTGAATGTAGGCCATGATTCGAAATAATGCGTGTGGGCGTTATTTCGCGAAAATATGGTAAATCGTACTCTGTGTCTTTGTGAATTTGACTACAATTTAATTAATTGTAAGTTGAAATAGAAAAGTTACGTCGAGAAATGAGAAATTTAGAAAAAATCCACAAACCAAAAATAATCCCGAACAGCAAAAAAGAATTAGGTAAAAAGAAAGTCGAATTAGAAAAAAAGAAAATAATCTCACTTCTTCCAATAAATCTATTTCTTGGGAATTACCCAAGTCCTGGATTATCGAGAATTAACAGTATGATATACACCATGACATGGCTAAAAATTATCTAGAAAATACTAAGTTTGGAAAATCCAGTTTATTGACCATAAATTGCCGCATAAACCATCCCCTTTATAGAATACCTCCCCCCTCCCTCTTAATAGACCCGGGTCTGTTACTTGGGTTCGGTTAAAGGTAAAATGTACAAGACCTGGGTCTATTATACAGTTATATATAATTTTAGGTTGAACGAAATTTTTTTTATTTAAAACTTGATTGATTCTTGGCTTTAATTATCGCTAATCCCAAGAATCATTATACTCTAAAGATTCTTTCTCATAATAATCAATTTCATTTTTCTTATCTTCAGTATTATCAAGATCGTTATCAGATTGAATTTCATAATCCAACATTTGATTCATCAAAGAATCTTCACCATTATTAATGCTATTAGTTTCTTTATTCTTGAAACCATAATTTGCATTTTGTGATTTATTGCTTATTATTATAAGTTGAATATGATCTTTAGAATTATCGCGTATATTTGAAATGTCACAGCATTTAAAGAATTTTTGAATAAGTGTAGGATCAATATTCTTCTATCCATTCTGCAACAGCACTATAGCAAAGCGTTATATGTGACCAGTAAGAGTTAATTTTTTCACTTTCTTGGAAATCCATTCATTGTAAAGAGCATGAATTTAGTTATTATAATATAATAAAATAAAATAAAAAAAAATAAAAAATTTTAGTTAAAGATTTATTTATTGCAACATCAAGAGGTTACACGTTCGAAGTTAGGTCACCAGGGATAATTGCCATGTTTACTTAATCATCATTTAACTGGATTAGTTAAATGTTCTCTAAAAGAATCCAACACCAAAAGAAATCATGAGTGTGTAATTACAAGTTACAACAGGTCCAAATATTTTTGATCCACCACAACATTTCATTGATATTCACCCTTCTGGAAAAGTTTGACATGGAACGTTGACAAGCTTAAAAATGATCAAAGGTGAGAGTTTTACACCATTTGCCAAATATGTGAGAACAACTACGGTGGCCATCAAAAGTAATGCAACACTTAAATTTTTTACTAATTATAATTAGTAAAATACATGATTTTTCTTACATATAAAAGTTTTTAATTTTACTAACA